TGAAAGCAGGGAAGTCCTACATTCGAGATACAGGACATTTTTTGGATAAATTAAAAGAAATAGGTAAAGTTTCGGAAAATGCATTGCTTGTAACTGCTGATGTCACAAATCTCTATCCCAGTATCCCACACGAGGATGGTCTGCGAGCACTTCATACCAAGCTAGAAGAACGTGAAGATAAAACAGTGTCATAAGAAAGCCTTATTATAGTTAGGCGGAAGTTGTCCTTAAAAATAATTATTTTGAATTTAATTCAAATGTTTATTGTCAAATTTCTGGGACAGCCATGGGCACAAAATTTGCTCCTCCGTATGCATGCATTTTTATGGATATGGTGGAGACTGAGTTTTTAGAACAACATCCTGGTTTGAAATTTACATACGAGTACTCGCAGACTAAAGTGAATTTTCTTGATGTTTCGGTGGGAATTGATGCTGGTCGATTTATTACAAGTCTGTTTTGTAAGCCTACCGATTGCCATCAATATCTACATTATGAGTCATCACACCCTGCGCACGTTAAAAGATCTATCGCGATCGTATATAGTCAGGGTTTGCGCATCAAGAAAATTTGCTCGCGTGAAGAGGATTTTGAGAAACACTTACAGGAACTGTCTAGTTGGCTTAAAAATAGAGCATGCCCAACATGGCTCATAGAAAGAGAAATTTAAAAGGCTCAAGGAATACAATATTGAAGCGGAAAGTAATATACTTAGAGAAGAAAGTTTTAAGACAGGAGTGCCTTTAACTATAGCTTTCCATCCTTTGTTGAAGCACTTTGGATTAGTAATTAAGAAAAATTTGCATATTTTGTACTTAGACACTGAAGCTCGTAAAGTATTTACCCCTGAACCATTTACGGCATTTAAAACAAGCCGCAATTTAAGAAGTTACTTAGTTAGAGCTAAGGTACCACCATTAGTAAGAGAGAAAGGATGTAAGAAATGTGATAAACCCAGGTGCTTGATATGTCAAAATATTCACGAAACCGATAGTTTTAGGTGCACAGCTGATTGTAAACAATACAAAGTGAACCATCATTTAAACTGTGACTCAAAGTGTGTGGTTTATCTTTTGACATGTAAAGTGTGTAAGAAGCAATATGTTGGTCGGACGACGGATAAATTCCGCTTTCGATGGAATAATTATAAATCTTGCCAAAGGAAAGCAATGTCTAACAAAGCTCATACACAAGCCTTTTTTCATTCACATTTCTTAGGCGAAAAACATAATGGCTTAATGAATGATTGTGATATATTCATAACTGACAAAACCAATCCAGCAGAACCAACAATTAGGGAAGCGTATTGGATTAATAGACTTGTGACAATGTACCCCTCGGGGTTGAACATTGAACAAGATTCTGAGGTGTATGAATAATTATGCTCATCTGGTAGGGTATATTAGGCTAGTAGTGGTTTGTGAAAACGATTTTACTTTGATGAAGACAATAAAGTCGAAACGTTAAAAATATGTGTTGGTGATTAACTTATATATTATTGTTGGTGATTAACTTATATATTAGTTGTACATTATATATTCAGTAAATAATGGTTGTCAAACATTTTCATTAACCTTTTCTTTCAATCCAGTTTCTTCGTCCAGCCTGTAATTTTCTACTTTGCCATCTTGACCTGTAATTGTGAAGTCAATGCATTTTCTCCAGACACGTTTTGGAAGAGAGGAACGGATCCAGACCCATGTTACAACTTGTTTGGCCACTTTGCCTCCGTTAATCGCAGTGCAGTTTTTGAGACAATAATTGTCTGTTCCACCTTTTGGTCCATAACACGCACAACACTAAAAATAATTATTCATATGTACTATCAATTATGTTCACAAACAAACATGTTTTACAATTAAGAGCTCGATCTAAATATTCGATTGTTAGTCAGTATATCGATCAAGTAAGCACGTGAGCACGCCTGCTATATATACTTTGATATATACATTTATATTCAACCTGTTAACTTTAATTAGTTAAATAGAGTAAAATTGCCGCATGGATAAATTATATTGCACTTATACGCGCATGGCAGAAGCCAAACAACACGTCACATCATGTCTTGTACGTGATGCCATTTGCAAATTATGCTGAATGACTGAACGGAGAGAAGCTTAAGGATAAAAAATTGAATGTAGACAAATACAAATAGCCGCTACAAGTGCTGTGTTATCCAAGCCATATATACTGTAAATAAGATTAAATTATAGTAATTATTCAAATTAACGTATAAGAAACGATTAGAAAATAGAAATCTACCTTTCCATGTGAGCAGCCCATAAATGCCGTTGAGCTATGCCATATTCCAGATCTTGTGAAATTATCTTTTGCACTGTAACTAAACATTCACAAAACGTTTATTCATTTTAAGCTCATGAATAATATAATAATGTTATTTTACCAAATGCCAAACTTTATTTTATTCTTGCATTTTATTGGAAATTGAGAGACATAGATCAGAAGCCCAGAAATATTTTCAACTTCGATCTGGTGTGATAAAACACACAACCGTACAAATGCTAGACGGATTCTCTATAATCACTGACTGAAAACACCATGTTTCATGCATGAAAACGCCATCTTGATAAGATTTTCATCAAAATTTGTGTTTTCAAACAATAAAACAAAATATTTTCAAGTTATTAGTAAATAATTGCATGTTTTCTCCTGCAAATAGTAGTATAACAAGTACTTGTGACATTTTCAAACATCTTAGGGTCACAAGCTTATTTGTGTTCTAGTGGTTCTGAGGGCCACACAAGTTCATTAGTGTTTTACACTATTTTGTGCTACCCTTTAGAAATAAAGTTCTATCTATATCCATCTATCTATTTTGATTGTCTTTGAAAACCTCACTCGTGCATGTTTTATCCAAATTGCACTTGAAATTATCCTATTAATATTATATTAATAATGTCAATTCTGATTGGCTAAGAGCAATGCAATTTTGTCGAAATGCAGTGCCAAAAAATGAAATACAGTGCAAAAAAAATAAAGTGCAAATTTCATTGACTATTTAGGCTTTCTGATTGGTTAAAAATATGAAACAGTAGCAGAGATAGCCAATAAGATACAGCAATTTCCAGCAAGAAATAATACGAACAAAACAAAGTAACATTCAAATGAATGAATCAATTATTTACATGTAGGCTATATTATCAATAAAGTAACAGTATGGTTTCTCGTGCAATTTGAAAAAACATACACTCGTGAGTTTTTCAAAGACTTCGAATTGTACTCGTCCTTCGGACTCGTGCAATTTTATTGTCTTTGGCACGTTTTTTTCAAATTGCTCTCGAAACTATACTAATAGTGTTACCTATAGTAATATACAAATAATATAACAGTTTCGATCGGTTATCTCCATTCTGTCACGAAACTCGCTCCATAGAGCACCAGCCTTACCTGAACCAAAACACACTCGAATATACAGATAATACATGACTGTGCATGCACATTCGTACGAATTTTTTTTTTATTTATTAACTTTATAATCAAATGACTGATGGTAAGGACAACAGGGCGTGAGTCCCTAATTAAGTCCCGCACCAAAACTTACATTGCATAATTACTTATAGGTATTACAAGCATACATATTATATACATAAACATTAGGGCATAAAACATATGTAGGCCTACAACAATTATAATTACATCTATGTAATAAAAACATAATTAAATAATAAAACAAAATTAAATAATTTGTATTTTGATGCAGTCAAGTATATTTTTACTCTTGCCACTTGGTGACTTGTCATGCAATCAAATCGTCTGTTATATTCCAGTTATATTATATAAATAGTACATCAACTCATAAAGCACTATACTTTATATAATAAAACGGGATAATCACCTAAGCGATTTTCAAAATAGCAACCGAAGTCGTTTTATCATGACGAAGATTTGTGTATTTTTAATTTTTTCCCAAATAATAAACCTATGAAATTATACTATAAAACAATTATTCACCCCAGGCTCGGTGATTATCGTGAATAAAAACTTCAACTTTGTCTCCGTTTTTATTCACCGATAATCACCTGGCCTTCGGCAATTAATTGTAAACTATCTTCCAGCAAATCCATGCAACTACTACTGTAATAGACTATTGTTTTACCTAAACGAACCAGAATCATCCAGTCTCAAGCTTATTCCGGGAAGAAAAGCAAATCCAGCACATGGAGTCTGTAGACACTTGTTCATCATACCCTGTATAATGTAAAGTTGTTGTTTGAATTCATGCATTCATGATAATTCTATCATATTTGTAATTATGATGATGTTAGACTTCGTTGTCTTGGTCACAGACAAGGCGAATTAATAAAAATCTATTGCATACCGGAATAGTTATCGGTTGATGGCAAATATAAAGTGAAAGTTATTCCGAAAAAAATGTGCTGACCTACCAATGTTTTGCAAGAATTTGGGGGGGGGGGGGGGGGGGGGGGTGAGGGTGTGAAGGGAAAAGGATCTATTCACCTGCAACCGTGGAGCGGTTGTATGGTATGAAGTAAATTCGCAGGATAAACCGGCGGTAACCCTCCGTGGGCGAAGGTATGGGGGCAAGTCCTCAATTTTAAAAATTGCAAATCCGAAATGCATTTCCAGCCAATTCACACAGTAATTTTGTTTAATGTTCACACGTATCGTAGATATATTTCTGAGAACGCATGTCTAGTGTAAATGAAATTAGTTACAGGATTCATGTCCTTGATTATAGTATCTCTTCGATACACAAATACTGATTATAACAACGGTATCAAGTTAATCGCTACTCTGCTGGAAAAGGTAGTCACTCAGTATAGCTACCGAGGTAAAAAAATGGAAATAACAACAAAGGAACTAGGCGACCCTATATGCTGCGCAGATTAACAAGACGCAATTCATGACCATAGGCATTGGCTGTAGATTATCATCCGCGTATTACTGCTCTGGAATAATTTAGAGCATGATCATGCAATTTGTATCTTCAGATAACATTTAATGGGGTAGTGGCCTGGTGGCGTTCCAAGCTCAGGGCGTATAACGGTCCATCCCCAGGACGTTTTCGTAATTTTGAGCCTCTGGGGCCTGATTTTCTGGACACAACATATGTTGAATCTAGACAGACTAAGCCCCCCCCCCAAAAAAAAAAGATTTCAAATTTTTAATTTTATATATAAAAAGTTGGAAAATTTAGAGAAAAATTTCTGGAAATATGAAAGGAAACCCGCTCAAAATATCAAGTAGAAAAACTGTTAGGTCCGTAAAAATGTTGGCCATCTTCGTCCCTCCCCAAAAAATAGTTATATCTTGGACAATGTATATGAATGTATATAATGAAAAAATATATGAAAATAATATATGAAAAAAAAGAAAAAACTAACTGCTTCGCGGCCACTGGACTGAGCTTTCAGTGCGATAACAAGGTATATGGTAAATTAAGGGGAAACACTGCAGAAACGCTTACCTGAAGTCAATCTTAGTTTCGTTTTTTGTTAAAATTTCAGACAGAAGGGACCTTCACTGGAGGGACAACAATTGTTTTCTTGGATGGGTAGCTTGTGGCTGGCGGGCCTTGGCCCTCAGTGCAAACTTATATGTTAAAAAAGGACCTGATGTTTTGACATTTCAAGCTAGATAGTGACTGATTAGTGTCTTTAATTAAGCTCGGCGGTGATTGAAAGCTCGCAACATGGCTCTCTATACTCAACCTTGAAAAAGACACCGGACATGTGTGTCGAAAAAATACATGAATGCGACTTATTCTGAGATTACATCACAACATTTTAAATACCGATTGAATACACCTACTACAATTAATGAAAAGCAAAAAAATCGCACAACTCCCTGAACTAACCCATCCGATTGACGGTGATAGGTGTCCCCCGAATAGTGAACAATGGAAATTTCTGTTGACAATCTTTTCAATCTGCAGATCTTTAACAAATGCAATATCACCAATCCCAGGGTTGTGCTCTGTGCAACCACCACGATCGCGAATGAGAAGTTCTCTAAAACGACGTTTATTTGCCAATCTAAAACTCCTTCAAAGGAAAAAATTATATAATTTATAAAATAGTAATTTTAATAACCCCAACATTAATCATTTAACAAGAAACAAAGATTAGGTTAAATTAGTTTCTTGATATGTGTAGCTACTAATTTTTATCTCAAGTTTATTGCCATATAACCTATGAAAGATTATGTGGCTAATGAATACGTCTGGACTGGCATGGATAATAAGAACTCCATCGTGTATTGAAGAATTCAGACTTTGAATAATATGAAATAATTTAAAGTAAGGTTAGATTTCAAATTTAGAAAATAATACGAGGCATGTGGATGTACGTTAATTCTTAGAATTTAATTAGAAGTAGATTTCTACGTTTAATTAAATTGTTACGATTTACAAATTGGTTTCGTATCATGCAAGATCATGAACACATAAAAATCCATATGAAAATATTGCTCAAGTCAGTCTAACGTTCCGGTTCATTGGTTTTTAGGGTGCTCTTATACCTTATATGGATATTTGATTTATGTTCACCATTTTGCATGATACGAAACTAATTTGTAAATCATAAAATGTGACCTACTGTATATGCCAACCCTATATCTATTATATCTAAAGTCGAACTAATCCCCGACCGGAGCGCCGTTCTGGGCGTAAGCCCGGGGCGAGGGTACTAATTCCCCCCGGCTATTTACACTCGGGGAGACGAAAGCATTAGCGAAGTCTAAAGTTCATCAATGATCGTGGGCGTGGGTGACCAACGATGGGTGGTCTTCCTCACTGATCTCAAAAATATGGCGGACTGTCGTGAATAGCGAATACTGATTGGTCAAATTTAAAATTTGCATTATAACGACTGCATGACGACAGCACAGAATAGGAGCGAAATAGCAAACATTTCTGATGATTTCTTGCAAATATATTTTATTTTTGCAAGATTTTGTGAATTTCAAAAGCTTTTTAAGAAAAAGGGGCGAAAGAATCGGCTAAAAGAAGGGAGCAAAGGCGCAGACGTTAACGAAGGTAAGTTTGTTTTATTAATCTATTGTTTGCTTTATAACTTAAAAGCCGATCGTATAAACCTTGCGTATAAACGAAACAAGACAGCATATAATTTCAGTGTATACTATTTCAGTGTATTGACTACCCTTTTTTATTATATTAAATTTTTTAAATAAAAAAGAAAGCAAAGTTATTTGCATGCGAGAATTTGAAATAATTTTATTTCAAACTCAAAGTTTACCGGTAAAGCCAAAACGGCAATAGGCAGTTAAGTTTTATAAAGAACACATTAAAACGTTTCGCGAAGCTTTGTGGTTGAATTTTACCTTAAATTGATGCTTATATTACGTATAATACCATACCTAACAAAATATGTTTGGGAAATTGGTAATTTTGTAATTAAAGTGATATTTTAGGGGGATTTTTCATTTGTAAAAATATTCTTAAAAAATTATCGTGTTACCATGACAATTATTTTAAATACTTCATGTTCGGAAAATACAATGGTTTTGTCAGAAGGCGAGGGTTTCTGCATGCATGTATTTTCTAGTTAAATATACAATATTGCGGACGACGGTGATCTTAGTTCCAAATAAAAAGAAATTATTGTGAAACGGAATTAGCTTACCAGTGTGCTTTTGTATCCTTGAACTCTGATGTAGTAGAAAATTGAAAACGTATATCTAACATTTTCATGTTACCGAAGATACTGGACCAGTGTGGTTTTCCAAAAGGATCAACAGTTTCTTTAGACGAAGGGACAGTCCAAGTCACAGAATCATTCTTTCTTGCAACCAGCAAGTATCCACCACCATCAGTTGTGACGTCACACCAAGCCTTAGTCACAGAAAGAAATGCAAATAATTAAGCAATCTGTATGGCAGAGACTGGATAACAACATTGAAGTAAAGACAAAAAGTGTACTGTTTAGCAATACGCGTATCCTATTAAATGAATCGGAAGTTTCATGCATGATAGCACATGCAAAATATGTGCAATTTATATGTAAAATCAAATTCACGTGTAAAATACATCATATATTAAACTTTTTATTCATATGAAATATGAATTTAAACGCAATTTGTCGTTCATATTTAAAGTTTCCATGCATGAAATGAAACTTGTTCGATTAATAGATAGCTTAAGATCTACGACGTCGACGTCAGCTAGGACGTCAGGGTTATGCAGAGGACTGGGACTAGGCTGTCGTCCTAATGTAGTCCCAGTCCTCTGCTCAGCCCTGACGTCCTAGCTGACGTCGACGTCGTAGATCTTAAGCTATCTAATATCAGGCGTCAAATTAAATCACATATTAATATCAGGCGTCAAATTAAATCATTATTATATTGTGTATTGTTTTTTTTTAATAATAATCAAAGAACTCATTTACATGTGCAAAAATATTACGCCATTGAAATAGGAGAATTGTTAAAATTCTCAAGCGCATAGATCACATATAAAATGTTGAATTCACATGCAAAAGATTTTAATTGTAAATTTGTTAAATAAAATATGAAATATTCAATTCGTCCATAAAATTCGGTGTGTAAAAATTCTTAATCATATATATTTGAAATTGTGATATATATGTGTCATGAAATAATCGTATAAATTGATTTACATTGTAAATAAGTATAATTCACATAAAAAGGTTCAAATGTCAAATTAAATCATATAATCATGAAATCATTTTTTCACAGCATACACCTTACTATGTTTTCTTCAGCGCTTTCATTCACAGAATGATTTGGCTGAGTCTACACATATAATCCTGCTGGGATTGGCTCACGTATATTCATAAAATACCCAAGATATTTAATTTAAAACTGTCTATATGCTAATTGATAAGGATATATTTTGTTTTTGATAACTAAAAATTTAAGCACTTACCTTCACGACGGTTTTGACTTCTTTGAGATAAATCCAGTAAAATCCATCTGTAGCGTCTGGTACTCTATCAACGACGTCCGAGCAATCAACAGCAGGATCAAAATATTCTCCAAGGGTTGAACTTCCTAGATATTTAAGTTTTTGACGTATGTAGGTTTTCGACATTACTTTAATTTGTTATATTTGTCATATTTGAATCTTGAAATTTTCCTATGTTTTTAGGTGTAAACATGGGTTTAACATTTTAGCATATATTTCTCTTTGACTGCCATCACCGTCTAATTTATGCCACTAACATATGCAGAGCTGAACGAAATTTGAATTAAGAATACACCGGGTGCCCCCCCCCCAAAAAAAAATGACAATGTTACTTTGATTTCATGTAACGTAATACCTATAAAAGCTAATAAATATCGTTGCCATCAGAAAGGACTAACGTATATTTTGATATATAACACTTTGATTTTACATGCAATATTGAGCGAGGTACAGCCAAAATAAAAAATGTTTATCATTTTACAAGTATAACCACATATTTATTTCATCTTTAACCATTTTTTTAATAATAGTTAATATTGTTAAACTAGGGGCCTTTGAATAAAAGCCTGATAGGTTTCATAACGGTTCTTAGCCCTTAGTGTTTGTACAAATATACATTGTACTGTAAATATATTTAGCTTTATATGGGCAAATCAAATCAAATATATATATATAGGTTGTTTTATGCTAATTTTTGACATTTTCAAAAACAGTAGTTCAACGTTCAAACATCAATAGCACAGTCAATATTGCAATGATCTTTATTTCATTGCGGTATAGTTTTACATCTTTTACGTTACATGAAATCATGCAACAGTGTCCAGTTTTTAAATTAAGCAAATCTAATAAAGTTTAAAATGGTTATTATTTCAGCCAATTTAAAAAGTTGGTGTTGTAATCTGTGAATTATGAAATTACTCTGATTGAGTCATTCAAGAATTTCTATCTCTGCATATCGGAAATGTTGGCTTACCATCCATTGATTTCCAGAAATAAAAATTCGGTTCTTCTTTGCTGCACATAACCACCCTGTCCTCACTGAGTCTATCTTTTATCAGTTTCACTTGCCCATGTGTAATCTTACTACATCGGCCTGGATCAATTGGATTTTTCTTGTCCAACTAAATATATAAAAGTTCTTTGTACGTTTGCATGGCGATAAAACATATAATAGTTTTGTTTAAATTGAACAATTTTTTTTTAATTAATTGAACAAGTCAGATATTATTATGAAGATCCAGGCTTACGGATCGAAAGCTTTGCAGTAATAAACTTACGTGGTGTTTCCACAAACAAAACTATTATATAAATATGTAAAGTAACAAGTATTGTAGATGCTTTTTATAATCACGTCAGACTAAACACAAGTTTTAAATGTTGACTTGTATGTAATGCCTATAACTTTATTTAACACTCAGATATTGACTAGAATGTCTTTAAATAATTTATGGTAAAATTGTATGAAAATTCGTCAAATGAGAGCTATATGATGCGTTGGTTCTAGCCAGCGTAGCAGGCGTTACTGCGGGCGGAAGAAGAGAGGGCGTCGTCGAGGCCACTCTTCCCCCGCCCGCACTAAACGCATGCTACGCAGGCTAGATGCGTTCAAAAGTGGCTTATATAATGGCGCCAATTATGATGCTATATTCTGTACCAGTTCACGTTTGTCTGATTTAGGCCTACTGAAGTTCCCTTCAATTTCCTAAGACTTGTTTGGACTCCGTATGTGTTAACAGTGGAATATTACTTACAATAACCTGGCTACCCCATCCAATCACTTCTAGACAGGGGTTGATATTTTCAAGTAAAATTTGCATAAGGAAGTCGTTATTTTTGTGAAATGGTAACCATTTTGGTCAAATACAGTCAATTAATTTAGATACAATTCGTTTGCCAATTTGCTTTAGAAAATACCAGAAATGCAGTCTTGGAGCTTCAATAATGTAAAATTGACCTACAATATACATAATTCTCAGGGCCTTGGAGCAAAGTGTAATTGACTTGTACAGTTTCAGATTAATAATGTAATTGACTTATAATTCTTCAGAGGAACAGTGTAATTGAGTTATATAATTCTTCAAGGGAACAGTGTAATTAACTTCGAATTCTTCAGAAGAACACAGTCTATAGGGAAGCAGTGTAATTGAGTTATCATTTTTCGGAGAAGTCACAATGTATATTTCTTCAAGGAATCACAGTGCAATTGACTGTCTTGTAATTCTTAAGGGAAACAGTGTAATTGGCATATAATTCTTCAGGGAAACAGTGTAATTGACATATAATTCTTCAGGGGAACATTGTAATTGACTTGTAATTCTTCAGGGGAACAAAGTGTAATTAACCTATATTTCTTCATGGGGACAGTGTAATTGACTTATAATTCTTCAAGGCCGGGAACAGGGTAATTGAGTTATTATTCCTCAAAGGAACGTACAGCGTAATTGACTTGCAATTCTTCAAGGGAACAGTGTAATTTACTTACAATTCTTCAGTGGGCCACAGTGTAATTGACTAATAATTCTTCATAGGAACAAAGTGTAATTAACTTATAATTCTTCAGGGGAACAGGGGAATTGAATTATGATTCCTCAAAGGAACAGCGTAAATGACTTGCAATTCTTCAGGGGAACAGTGTAATTTACTTATAATTCTTCAGTGGGACACAGTGTAATTGACTACTAATTCTTCATGGGAACAAAGTGTAATTGACTTATAATTCTTCAGGGGAACAGGGGAATTGAGTTATATATATAATTCCTCAAAGGAACAGCGTAATTGACTTGCAATTCTTCAGGTGAACAGTGTAATTGACTTATAATTCTTCATGGGAACAAAGTTTAATTGACTAATAATTCTTCATGGGAACAAAGTGTAATTGACTTATAATTCTTCAGGGGAACACATGTAATTAACTTGTAATTCTTTAAAGGAACAATGTAATTGACTTAAATTTCATCAGGGGAACAGTGTAATTGACCTGTAATTCTTGAGAGTGACAGTGTAATTGAGTCTAAATTGACTTACAATTCTTCAGGAGAACAGTGTAATTGACTTATAATTCTTCAAGGCCGGGAACAGGGTAATTGAGTTATTATTCCTCAAAGGAACGTACAGCGTAATTGACCTGCAATTCTTCAAGGGAACAGTGTAATTTACTTACAATTCTTCAGTGGGCCACAGTGTAATTGACTAATAATTCTTCATAGAAACAAAGTGTAATTAACTTATAATTCTTCAGGGGAACAGGGGAATTGAATTATGATTCCTCAAAGGAACAGCGTAAATGACTTGCAATTCTTCAGGGGAACAGTGTAATTTACTTATAATTCTTCAGTGGGACACAGTGTAATTGACTACTAATTCTTCATGGGAACAAAGTTTAATTGACTTATAATTCTTCAGGGCAACAGGGGAATTGAGTTATATATATAATTCCTCAAAGGAACAGCGTAATTGACTTGCAATTCTTCAGGGGAACAGTGTAATTGACTTATAATTCTTCAGTGGAACAAAGTTTAATTGACTAATAATTCTTCATGGGAACAAAGTGTAATTAACTTATAATTCTTCAGGGGAACAGGGGAATTGAATTAAGTTTAATTGACTAATAATTCTTCATGGGAACAAAGTGTAATTGACTTATCATGGCAATTCTTCAGG